GCCTCTCTGCTCCTATGATGCTGCTTGGCCTGCTGTGTTCATCCAGCTCTGCACCTTGTTGTCTCAGCTATCCAATCATTCCCACTCCTTGTCTTTTCCCCAACCCTGTACATTTAAACATCGTGCATGGTTTCCTTAGACGGTTATTATTGACCCTGCAGTGCTCATTCCAAACTGAAACTTGCTTTGAAAAATAATTTTTCCTCCTCTCCATGTTTCTTTTACCAATGATCTTCAATAGTAGACTTTTCTGTGGAAGCAGTTTCTCCTTATTTAAGTCATCAAAACTTGAACACCTAATAAGGACCCATACCAGTCATAAATTAGCTTAATCGTAGCATCTTCCAGCTTCTGAGGTCCCTTAAGTCTGATATTGTTCTGCCAGCTCTGTATATCCTCTCCAAAGTTTGATTCATTATCTTATACAAATCTCTCACACACAACCAACTTTTGAGCCTCAAAGTGGACTCTCATATCACTGAGCTATGATCATATTTAATGGCAGAGCAGACTCATGTAATGTTACTCCTATTTCTTAAAACCTCCTGAGAAACATTCAGGATAAGAGCATGAGTAAACCATTTGACCCATCAAGCTCACTTCACAATTCAACATGATCAGTGCTGAGATAGAGGATCAGCCATGTACTCCTACTCTCTTCCCATCTCCTTGACACATTAACTTCTGAAACATGTATTTTTTTAAAAAATATATTCATTGAGTAGGTCTTCATGGTCTGCTGTGGTTGAAATTCACCACTCTTGAGTGAAGTAATTTCTCCTTATCTCAGTCAAAAACTGTCTACTTCATAGCCTGAGACCTCTTGTACTGGATACCCTGACCAGGGAAAACATCATCTCTGTATCCAATCTGTCCAGCCCCCTTTTCTCAAAATTCTACATTTCAATGAGATTCCCTTATTTTAAATTGCAGTGGAGATAGGCCTCCCAGGAATCAGTCTGCTGAACCTTTGCTGTACTTCCTGTATGACAAGTATATCTCTGTGTGTAAGGAGACCAAAATTGTGCATAATACTGTTTTTGTCAAGACCCTATATGACTGAAGTCAGATTTCCTTGCTCTTTGATCATACCCCATTGCACTGAAGACCAAACATGCCATTTGCCATACTAACTGAAATGCCTAAAACACAAGACACTAGCAATTTAGTAACTCTGTCCCAATTTTTTGTACTTTTCATCACCAGTGATCATGCAATGAGGATACCTGAGAAGAAAAATACATTTAAATTTTCTTGGATGATTTTACCCATTTTAGTTCTTCTGTTGCAACACAGTTGATTACTTCTGATGAGCCATCTTAATGGGAAATAGAACCTTAATCTTGTGGAAATCTGGTATCAATTTACTCCATACCAAAGGATTCTATCTGGTAGTAAATATTATTATGAAAACTAAATAGCACTTATTTTCAAATGTCAAGGAATTTGTTGTGTATTTTCAGCCCTGTAGTATATAACCAGAAGAGAAGAAAAATTCATCTTTTAAGATTTGATGTATAGGAAGGATATGATTAAATTGGAGAGGATTCGGAAAATATTTACCATGATGTTGCTAGGAATGGAGAGTTTGAGTTATAAGGATAGGCTGGGACTTCTTTTATTAGAGGGCTGACCTTATCGACGTTTATAAAATCGTAAGTGGCAGACATAAGGTGAACAGTAAGAGTTTTTCTATAGAGTGGAGGAGTTCAAAACTGGGGCCATGTTTTTAAGGTGAGAGAAGAAAGTTTTAAAAATAACATGAGGGGCAACTTTTTTTACACAGCGTGGTTTGTGTGTGGAATGAACTGCCAGAGAAAATGGTGGATGCAAGTACATTTACAAAATTTAAAAGACATTTGGATAGGTACATGAATAGGAAAAGTGTGGAGGGATATGGGCTAACCGCAGGCAAGTGGGACTGGTTCAGTTTGGGAATATGGTTGGTATGAACTAGTTGGACCAAAGATTCTGTGTCCATGCTGTATGACCATGAAGGTAATAATCGTGGATTTGGTTGAAACCTTAAACTAAAGCTGGCAGTAAAACAAAAAATCCTGAGCTTATTTTTTCCCTTTCTTTTGATATTGCAAGTTAATTGAAAGTTGCTGTTAAAACCCAATAGATTAGATCTTAATGATAAATCTATAATTAGAATAATTTTGATAGCGACGAGAATGAAAAGTAATTGTATGTCCTCATACTTGTTCTTTTTTTAAAAAAACCTCGCAAACTATCTGAATATATTTTTAAAAACTCGAGATTATTTGGTGCTGTTATGAATTTAACTGTACATACTTTTTGGCAGCTTGTGCTGATTAACAATGTAAGATTTTAAAAAGCAAAGAATAATTTCTCGTGTATATTAATTCACTTCCCCTAGTCCTCTCTTGAAAGATACTGCATGATAGTGGCATATAGGTTGACGCCGAAGAGATGACCATCGTGGCCTGCATTTAAACTGAAGCTGCACTTCTCTTAACTTTAGTGGCTTAAGGTCATGGGAATATTCTGTGCCAAACATTAGGCCAGTCCTAAAATCATTGCTTCTTAATCGCTTCTGTTGTTTATTACATAATAATAGTTTACACAGCATAATTCCCCTCTTTAGGTTGTTAGGGAGTTCATTTCTCCTAGTTGTTAGTCTGTAAAACAAATGATTCCAAATTGTCCACTTTTCCCGAACCATCAATCTGTCCTCCTGAGCAACACCAGCAAATATGAGCTCGTATGGTGAGAGGTGGTCTCAGACAGTGACTTTTGAACTCTTGCTTAACGACATGATTCAGTAAAATTGTTCGAATTTTTAACAGTTTTTAGTCTTTATTTTTGCAAGCATGAAGCTAAATGGCAACTAAGTTTAGAAATTGTCGGGAGCAAAAAAAAATTAAGTAGGATTTGGGAATTATGGAAGGAATGAGCCCGAAAAAGACGTGGGTCAGTGGCCAGATTTTGCAGTCGATGGTGAAATGACAGCCCTAACTGCTGATCTTAAAGTTGCCCACAAAATATGTTATGATCTCCGTGATGTGAATCGCCGATTTCCTAATGTTAATTTCATGTTGGGGCTTCACTACAGCAGACCTGTGGCATCCAGCAACCAATTATACTGATTAATTCTCAGACAGCAAAGCAGAAAACAAATTGTTTTAATCATCTTACAGACACAGAAACAAAGTTTGAGACGTACCAATAGGATTAAGAATGTGAAATGTCAAATTCAAAAATTATTTGATTGTTCTAATTATCTATGAAATTATTTTTATTATAGTGTAGAAATTAGGCGTTCCAAAAACCATTTTTTTTCAGGAGGAATTACTCGATCCTAGTAGACTGTTAACTCAATTACGCTTCATTTAGCAAGGCGAAACTTTTTTAAAAGGGGTTTCTACAGCAAGATTAAAGCGTGCAAAATAATCGTTCAAGTGATTATTAAGATTTTCACGGGAAAGAGTGCCGCCTACAGAGTGATAGAGAAACTTTCTCTGTTTCCGTCTTTAACATTGACAGTTTCAGCATCATTAGAACCGCAAAATCTGGGCTACTTCATGATAGGATTGGGAGCAGGGTAAACGAGAGGCCTAGCGCACAAAGTAAATCAGTTCCTCACACTTTGGACTAGACCTGCGATCAGAAAGATTAGAAGGGGTGCAGAATTAAGGTGATGTGTCATTAAGAATAGTTGTGGGTGATTTAGTTTTCTTAATAAATTCTAACTGCCTATTCATTGACATTCAATTTGTAGGAATTGAGATGAGAAATATAGGAGGTGGAGGAAATGAGTGACTAAAGAGATAAATTTAAAAAAATGGTGCCAAAGGAACAAGCAAATTAGAGAAATGGGATTAAATTATACGAACGAGCAGGAAAGCGGTTTTGAGCGAAGTAATACTCAATCCCAATGGCAGGAAAAATATTCTGTGATGTCCAAACTGATTGATGTGTATCAGTACTGATACATATCAACATAAAGTCAAAGTAAGTGAGATTAGAAATACCAGCAATTTAAGGCTACCAACTTGTGCTAATTTATTGGTAATTTTGTGTTATGGTCTATAAGATTATTATAAATAGAAAAGCAAGGCAACTTTCCGCTCCTTTAGTTTGGGATGGGGTTAAGTTCTGGATGTAGAAGTGAAAAGTTGCCCTTTTGATGCAGTTAACTGCTGCATCGTGCAAAGTTGACAGGAAGGCGAGAAAGCCCCCTCCCCAATTTGATATTCTTTACCCTTGCGTTAACGGACAAGGGATACAAAATTTTGAGCTGTGAAACACGTGACGAGCTTTAGCATAACGTTTTGAGTTTAAGCAAGCAAGCATTCGGCTAAATTAATTGTATCAGGGCTTCCTAAAGTGGGGGGCGGACCCCAAGCAACGTCCCGAATTGAAATGTTGGTGTAAGCTCGGATAGCAAGCCCCCTTTGCCCCTGTTCTTTCTTCGCCAGCCCGTTACCTCGAGTTACATTCCCCGCCTTCATTCACAGTTCTCAGCGAGGGCTTATGGCAATTTTCAAACTTCTACATGGATTCACAAATGGAGAAGAAGTTCGACAAACACTGATTTACATCTTTTATGTTTCAAACTGAATTAGCTATTTGTCAAACGTGAAAGGATTTGGTCCTGCCATAAACTACAAAAACAGTCTTGGTACAAAATAGACCAGGTTCAGTTAAGGTATTGAGGTTACTAACACCGTGACATTTAACCCTTCCGCCACTTTACCTGCAGAATCATAGTTTGCTTATTTTTGGCAGAACTGTGCTACTTCACCGTTGTTAATGTGCTGGAGTGGAAACTTGAAAAACTCATTTGGGACTTCCTGTTTCCTCTGAACTATGGGGGTAATTTTAATCTAATTCATTTGGCAGACAACGGGACTGATCGAGCAGAAGATTAGTACACTCGTAGCATGGCCCTGTAGGTAATTGTAAAGCGAATATATGGTACAACTATCACCTCCTGATACTAAATTATCGGATGACATTTGAAGGTGAACATGTGATGTGAAGTCATATAATGTTGGAAGAAAGAACAAGGACAATAGAACTTAAAGGAAGAGTTGGAGTTCATATATAAATTTATAAACCGTTAGTCCGTAACTCGGCAGTTCTAAAATCACCAGAGTAATGCTGAGGCCGGCTGCACGGATTTTGTTTGAGTAGAAGGATGGAGGGCAAAGGTGTTATGATAAGGGCCATTGAATGCAAAATTGAAAACTTAATTTTGAATTCGGCAGGAGGTAGATTGCCGAGAAGAGTGAAAGGTAGTAGAGGGTTTAAGCAAAGAGTTTCCCGAAGAGGCGGCAGGTATTGTATAAACAGGTTGTATATGACACACCTCTGGAGTAGGTGGGATTTGAACTCGGGCCTCCCTGACCCAGAGCCGGGGCTGAATGAATGGCGCGGCACGTGATGGCCACCTGAGCGCGCGCTCACGCCGAAGCGCGGGGGCTGATTGTGACGTGTGGCCCGCCGCAGGGGACAGCTGCAGGAAGGGTCGCCATGGACGCCGCCAGGTAAGTCCCTGGGCCACGCGCTCAGAGTAACCTGACTGCCCCCTCACACACCGGCTGCTGTAGCAAGGTCTCACTTCAGCACGTTCAACTAGCGACAGGTCTTGTTTAGGCAACATTGCATCCCTCAATTGACCTTCCCAACCCTGCAATACTGTCAGGGGCAGAATTATGGATTCTTACAGTGCAAATACACGTGCTGTTTTAAATCACAGGACTATCGTATTACTTTTACCTCCAGTCGTTGTATAGCAGGTAGCACTGTGGAAAATAGTGGCATTCGTGCCCGTATGAAACGTAAAACCTTCTAAGTAGTTACAAAATGACAATAACATTTTCAGTGATCAATTTCTTGTAGCCCTGTGAATTCCAGAATGAAGTAAAACAAGAGATTCCTAAGGAAAGCAGGCTGCTAAACGATAGAGTTCGCAATCAAATAAACTGTCATGTTACTGTCGAGTTTTATCAAGATGGTTCATCGTCTGCCTTTATCGATTCACTATATTAGTTAGGAAGCTTTTAAAAATGTACACATTTGTTATTGTAGCTAATTCGTATTAAGTCACAGAACTACGACAGTACGTTGCCCAAAATTTTTACATGACCAAGGCTTAAATATGTTGAAAGTTGCTCGTTGAAAAAGCAGATTGCCTTGCATTTTTCATGTAAGATTCAATAGTGGCTGTTCAGTGTGGTATCTCCAGCATCAATATCCATTACAGTGAAGTTCACTGGGATCATGACCCCTTTTCATCCGTAGATTTAAAAAAAACGCTTGCTGCATCAAAAAGATTACTGTTGTCACGTTTTTAAAACATGGTTTTAAAAGATATAACCTCCTGTAGTTAAAACGGATTTTGTTTCTGCTTTTGAACTAAAGGAAGACTGATCCTAATTTGTTGGAAGTAGAAGGGTTTTTTTGATTTGAATGATACTTTATTTACATATAAGATCACAATGCATTGGCACTAAGTCTTCAAAATGTGCTTTTCAGTTTGGATTGTGGAAAACTCTGTTCTTTATGGACAAACTGGATATTTATGACAAGTCGCAGCAATTGCATTGTATCGTTAAGGAAGGTTATGGTTCAGCTGTTAAGTTAGGTTACTTTGATCAATAGTTCCCATGGCCCAAATGCCTATGGTCCAGGTTTTGCAGAATAACCAAGAGGCTAATAATGGTACCCATCTTTGACAAGTTAATCAGATTGAACTGTGCATATGATTACATGACTATGGAAATCTAAAGCTGAAGCTGAGTTACCCAGCTCCTTCACAGGCTGAGATATGGCAGTCTTTTGAATTTTGAAAAGACGTGGGTGTTGAATTCTAGTAGTTGTATATTAGAAGCCAGTAAACATGCCATAAAAAGTTAGGATTGATGTATTCAGTTATAAACATTTTTTATTGACATATTAAATCATAATTACTGCAGCACAATCTTCCAGACAGTGAAAGTTTAATTTTATAAGAAGGGAGTCTCTTTTTTTTAAACTTAATTGATGCAGGAGAGTTAAAAGAAATCTTTTTACTTCTAATCTTAATTTAAATTGCACATCCTGGTCAACACCTTATGTTTGAATAAACCTGCTGAACTGCAGAAATTTAGTGTGATTGTTTGGAAAGCTTGAACCTCAAATGTGTTTGGTACCTGACACCAGTCGTAAGCAAACCTTTTCTTCCTTATCTTAATTTTTATTTTTTTTTTCGTCCAGCGAACTCTTGATTTGTTTGTGCTATCTTTGCCTTTTGAGGAAATATACCATGATCATTTATGAACGATCTCTTCTTTGAAGGTCACCCCTTGTTCAGCCACAGTTTTCCCACAAACGTTTCACTCCAGTTAATTTAACTTGGCTCCATTCTTGTGCTGTTGAGGTCAGCTGTCCCCTGGTTAATTGTTCTTATTCTGGATGTTCTTTTCCACTGTCATCCAAAACCTTATGATACAAAGATTACTGTCCCCTAAATGTTTCCCCAGTGACACTTGATTTACATTGTTCATGTGCAACCATGCAGCTTGCACAAATAGGGTCTCCCCAGAGCTAGTGCCAGTATCTTAGGAACTCAAAGCCCTCCCACCTGCACCATCTTTCCAGCCACACATTAATCTGTTTTACCCTTGTATTCCTGTACTCAGTTGCACATGGTACCGGAAGTAATCTGTAGAACATCCAGCAGAATGTCCTTCAACCACTCTGTGATATTTCTGACTCTGGCAATATACAATCCTGGAGTCATATCTACTCATGCAGAAGTGCCTGTGTGTTTTCTCCTAACCACATCATGATAGTTATTCCACTCTGCTTTCTTCTCTCCTGTACAGCTAGCTCACCTGTGGTTAAAGTTTTTGAGACGTATTGTAGCTCAGTTTGTGGATGAGGTTTGTTTGCCGAACTGGTAGGTTGGTTTGCAGATGTTTCATCACCACACTAGGTAACATCATCAGTGCACCTCCGCTCAAGCGTTGTTGGTCTGTCCCACTTATTATTTATGTGGTCTGGCCTGATGTGGTGGTCAGCCTCATTTCTGGTTCTACTTCATAGTGGATGGGAACTCCATCAATGAACATGTGGAAATAGACCCCATATACCAACCACTATGAAGCAGAACTGGAAATGAGGTGGACCACATAAATAACAAATGGCCTAGTGGTATTGTTACTGGACTTTTAATCCGGACACTCATAACGTTCTGGGGACCTGGGTTCGAATCCTGCCACGGCAGATAGTGGAATTTGAATTCAATAAAATATGTGGAGTTAAGAATCTAATGATGACTATGAATCTGTTGTCGATTGTTGGAAAAACCCATCTGGTCCACTAATGTCCTTTAGGGAAGGAAGCTGCCATCCTCACCTGGTCTGATCTATATGTGGTCTATATTGGGTCCCAACCCAAAACAGCTCCTCCGATGCTGCCTGGCCTGCTGTGTTCCTCCAGCTCCACACTGTGTGCTACAGGATGTTCTGTTCCAAAGTTGGTCTACCTTTGCATGAGTTAACTGTGGAATGGATTTGGTTGGTGGTGCTACATCATTTTAGGCCCAGAAGCAAAACGTATTCATACTTGGTAATAAACGGAATAGTTTCCATTTTGAAGTATACAAGAAAAGCCTGACCAATGTGTCTCATTTGCCAAAATACTGGTTCTTTCTTTAGTATGACCATGGGTCAAAATAATGAATACCTTAAATACTTAAGTTGTAATTACAAAATATTTTTTAAATTGGGCTGATATAGCTAAAAATGCAAATTAAACAGCTGCTCGGAGAGAGATAGAGCCACAGAATGTCACATGTAAAGACTGAAAGGAACTTCAATCAATAACCCTTCAAGGAGCAAAGAGACAAGTCAAAATTGACTGGACTGTGATCTCTTGCAACTACATAGATAGTTAGAGGCTGATGTCATGCTACCCAATGGTACACTACCCTCTTGGATTATGTCCCAATCTACAGACATATTATGTTTTTCCCTTTTGAAGAATACACAAAGAGAAGCGTTAGAAAAGCCAGTTTCAACTTTACTGGAGTGTGTAAGCGGGACTGAACATTCTGTGCGCCACCCTTTGTTGGAGCATTAACATGTTGCGAAGGTCACAGCCAAAGAATCATCCCCTAGTCACCACTTGGTTACAGTTCACCTTCTTTCATCTGAATGGCTTCTAGCTAGCCAATTTCTGGCAATCAAAAGGAAACAGAATAACAAAAGGACATTCTCTCATTCGGGAAATCAATCATGTTCAAATTGAAACAAAACTGTAAAATCTCAATCTGCAAAACTAAGGATCATGAAACTGACTGTTTGACAATACTGGTAACCTTCACTGCAACAGCCACAATGTTCAACAATCTACTCTTCACGAACGATTCAGAGACTGATCTGTACCAGTTTTTATATAAAAAAGTTATCCTTTTGGACTTGCCTTCTATCTAATCTGTATGTTGAATTTACTAATTCTTGTTACATTTTAATAATTATTAAACTCTTTTTGTTAACTCAGGAAAGCCTGGCTGAATGGCATTTTGAAACCAAGTTCTTTTGAGTCTGGGAGAAAGATATCCGGGGAAGGGATCTATTTTAAAATTAACCTTGTTTTAAGTTTATTCAGGTACTTTCAAAGACCAGAAATAAGGTTTTTCAAATATTTTGCAGTCTTGAAGATTTTACTAGCATCTCCCTCTGTAGGTCAATGGAGTTTGTTAGAATCTATCATTTAGTGAGTTGGACAGAGTGCATTGAATCACCTTTGATGAAAATTTTATTTTGTGTGGAGTTTATTTGCATGTAAATTTATTATTTGCATACCCTTAATCAGATATTCTAACCTAAAGAAGAACACAAAGTGATAAAGTATTTTCCACAAACCGAACACACTGAAGAAACTTAAGGCATTATGGGTTATACAGCAATATTAAAAATATAATTTGAATACATTAGAAACTCTATTTTAATATTTAGTTTTTACTGTCATTCAAACTGGTTTAATTATCATTCTTGTTTTGGCTTTTTAAAGATTTCCAATGAATAATGACTTATTGCTGATAGGGGCTTCAAACTTTTTTTTTAACAAGTGATTATCAGGCCAGAAATCATTAAAAACAAACAGCAGGATGTAGAAATACGAAACAATGGCACGTACAGGTAATGAGTTTAAATAATGCACTGAAAGTATGCTTGCATAATTTGAAATATGTTTACTGTATGATTGTAACTGTACACAGATTAAAATTAAAGCTTACAATGCAACACATTAAACTTGCAATAACATGAGAGTATACGTTAATTACAAATTTTACAAAACCTACATACCAACCATAAACATCAAGTTTTGAATATATTCAAGTATTTCCTTTCAAGAAGCGTTTTGCATATTCAAAAAATTACAGTAAACCTTTTTAATCTTGGTTCTGATTTTTAAATTACATTTCTAGAAAGACTGATGAAGCTGTTCCTCAGGTTGGCATACTCCCGCATATCTACACGTCAGGTCCAAATAGAGA